GGCTAGCGGAGGAATTAATCCACCGGAATGAAATTATACTACTATAATGTTCCGGACGAAGGACTGGGTGGAGGAGTCTACGGGGAAAAGGGGGTTTGAGTCCTGCTCAAGAGCGACATACTGGGTGCGACGAACTTTCGTCCTACCGCAGTATTTCTGACGAATCCAGCTTGCTCTGCGGAGGCATCTCTGTGTGGCGACTTCGCATCCTGTTCACAGAGACAGCCGTGGCAGCTACAGAGGTGCACACTTCGAACACGAGCTCCAAGCTTGTTCATGTCAAAGCCTGTGCAGCTCATACCAAGCATGATTGCGCAGTGTTCCCAGTTCCCTCCTACAGCACTGTCACCATGACCGGCAGAACCAGCGCTCAGCCCGGGACATGTGGTGGAAGCTCGAGTAGCATCGAACACAACTTGAGAAAACCCATGCATCCGCGAACCTCTGAAGATCAGCTACGATTTAGGGTCTTGGGTTAGGGTTTAGGGTTTAGGGTTTAGGGTTTAGGGCTTAGGGTTTAGGGTTAGGGTTTAGGGGTTTAGATAAAAAAAATCAGGGTTTAGAGCAAGTCAACGACGACTTGGGCCCTACAACCCTGGAAGACTAGCTGCTTCGATCCGCATAAACCCCCACACAGCCTCAAATCCTCAGGCCCTAAACCCTAAAAACCTAAAACCCTCAAACCCTGCATTTAGGGTTTTTTAAGTAAGGGTTTAGGGTTTAGGGTTTAGGAAACCCTAAACCCTCAAACCCTAGACCCTAAATCCCAAACCCTAGGCCTCAAACCCCACAGATTCCAACCCGCAGCAACCCGAGGAGAGCACGCCGGCATCGATCTCACGCTGTAGGAGCGGCCGCACTCTGACGGCAACCTCTTGTTAAAGGAAGCTACAGGCGGGGAGTTTAGGGTCTTTAGGGCTTCTATAAGGCTTCTATAAAGTATATAGACCTTCTATAAGGCCCCTATAACAGTAACTACCCACCTGAAAATGCGCTAGATCTTCCGAGTCGCAGGAGGGCGAATGGTTTGGGATGGTAGGGGATAGGGGTTTCGGGTGTAGGGTTTAGGGTTCAGGGTTTTGGGGTTTAGGATTTGGGATTTAGGGTTTAGGGGTTCCTTTGGTGGGGTTTGGGATTGCGGTTGGTGTCTCATGTTTGGGGGCTGGGGGCTAGATGTGTGCGAGCCCAGTTCGGGATTTCGGGGCTTAGGGACGCTCAGTGACATGTTCTGGTTACTTTCAAAGTGATATGACAGGCACCCTAAACCCTAAACCCCAAATCCCTAAACCCCTAACCCTAAACCCCAAAACCCTAAACCCCAAACCCTAAACCCTAAACCCTAAACCCTAAACCCTACTCCCCTAAACCCCTAAACCCCTAAACCCCAAACATCTGCAGGCAGAAATCTTCACCTGCTGACCTGAACAAGACCCATCAACTTAAAGTCCGAGCGAATTCCAGGCACACGTGCTGCTGCCTTTATTGTTTCGGCCATCCCGCACCGCTACACCTCAGTGGCCACAGTTTGGAATTTGCCAGTTCAAGTTCCGTTAGTCGTTTAGGTCAGGATTCAAGACTTGGGGTGTGCTGTTTCTTCGTCACAGCCTGTAGAATAGCACTGTCGCAATTTGTCTGAGTCTGTATGCTGGGCGCCTCCGACACAAAAGCGTCTTTGTTGAGGAAGCACCCTAAGCCCTAAACCCTAAAACCTAAACCCTAAACTCGAAACCCTGTTCTACAACGTGCTGAATTAGCGCAGAGCTGGAAGCCAAACCGTTGCGGTATACCGCGCACCCTCGGCCTTGATAGACGAGAATTGATTTTATTGTTCAAAAGCCTTGTTCGTGGGGTTTAGGGTTTAATTAGTGTTGTAGGGTTTAGGGCTTTAGGGTTTTAGGGTTTCGGGTTTAAGGTAAACCCAACACCCTAAACCCTGGCCGGCAACGACGTCCACCCGGGCCAATGCATCAAAGCCTGTTCAAGCGCATTCTGGGCAACCAAGCGGCTGTTCTCATGGCATGACGTGGAACGTCGCAAGTCTAGCTAGCCCACGCCAGCTGCGGCTTGTTCGCTTTGTTTGGTCTTGAGACAGAACCAGCTATGCTTTGCAATGCTGGTTGCTGTGGCACATACTGCTGCCATTCATTCAGCTCCTGCAACAAGCATTACGTTATTCGGCTCTCGCTCGACATGGTGCTATTCTACAAAGACAGTCATAACCGAAGTTTAAACAGCTGCAGCAAGAGGATGCGCAACTCACTTCAGCAGATGGCATGGTTGCATGGCACGTCGTAACTCAATCAGGTACTAGATGACAGACTGGTGGCAAGCCACACAATGAACCCGAAACTCAAACCCACAAAAACAACTGAACTCAAAAGCCTCTGTTGAATCAACAGGGCTCGGCAACATCGCATCAGAGATCCCTAGCCCATGTCGCATGTCTACATAGCCTTGAAAGACCCGGAATCGAGGGTTTAGGCAAGAGGTTTAGGTTTTACAGTTTGTGGTCCAGGGTTGAGGGGACTAGCTTAAGAGTTTGGGGATAGGGCTTTGCGATCAGCTTTTGCGCATCCTGCTATGGGAACGCGACAGGAAACCCTAAACCTTGAACCCTAAACCCTGAACCCTAAACCCTACCTCAAGAACCCAAAACCCACTTTTTTTGTAGGTTCTTATTATAAACCCTAATATGGGATTTATAGGGACCCTACAAAAAAGTAGGTGTAAATCTGTGAGTGCGATAGGCTCTGTGATGCAGGCTGTCGCTCGTTCCCTGGTACTCAGGCACAAGTGATCTCAGTTGTTGCGGAAAAGGCGTGTGTGCCTCCGTGGGTAGCGGCTGCCGGTGTCAGCTGCTAACAGCAGTTTGACATTGGTAGCGGAGCCTTGCGTTGTAAGCCATGTCGGCCGACCCCAGCATCGATGCTCACGATGCGGGACCTCAAGATCCCTGGAATGACCAGGACCCATGGGTGCAGTGGAGGACAGAAGCGACAGAGCCGCAGAACCCCTCCGACACGACAGCGACGACCGAACAGTCAGCGACTGAACCGGGCAACGACCAGAACAACGGGGCCACTGACTACACCAGTGGCTGGGGCGACAGCTCTTCGCCTGGCGATGGGGCGCCGGGTGTGCAAGGGCGACGCTGGTCGGATGAAGCTTGGCAGCAGTGGCTGCAAGGAGCTTGGCTTGGAGACCAGATTTTGGTGGCGCCGTGAACCACCCTAGCGATGAACGGCGCGCTTCTGATGTATCGGCAAACTCGAATGGCGCCACGGGCGCCACCGGCAGCAGC